ATTTAAAATACTAATAAATCGGAAAACTCTCGAGTGACAGAAGTTGTTGAGTTTCATACTGGAAGAAATTCTACATCTGCTAGCATGAAGTGACCACACAATAAAGATGCCCTTCCCTGGACTGGCAGAGCCATATCATCACTATCTTCACAAACCTCACATTACTTTCCTTCCTCCCTTCTCATCTTTTCCATCTCTCTCCTTCTTCCTGTCCCTCCCTTTCTATCCTCTTTCAATCTTATGTCCTTGTGCTTTTTTCATCAGCCTAATCACACAATCACAATAATGTAAAGGTTACCACAATTTACCTTTCACAATCTCTTTCTGTTTCTCTCCTTCTCACACTTGCTTACATGTACAATTACCTGTATAATCAGTTGATCCTGCCTTAAATCATCTCCATGCTTGAAAATAGCCACATATTCTTTCCCTTCAACATCCACGAAGGTTAGGCGTGATGGTTCGAGGGCCGACTTAAATAACGTTGCTTTCTCTGGCACTATGCCTGTTACGATGACCTGTGAATGGGGTTACATGAGAAGGCGGGCAGGGAAATGAGAACAGAGAGGAAGAACGGAGGAGTGGGATTGGTGGGGGATAGTGTGTGTAGAGGGAGGGAGAAGAGAGGCAAGAATGGGGGAGAGGGGGGGAGAGTGGCAGAAGAGAGGAGAGAATTGGGGAGACAGAGGATGGGTGAAGGATGGGAATTGGTAAGGGAATAGAGGGGGGAAATCAATATTTTGCAATAAGTAGATTACAAAATAGATTTCTTTTTCAATAAGAAAAATTCTGGAAAATGAATGCATTTTCTGTACAAGCATACATATGAGCAAATATATAATCACACACAATCACATAGACACACACATCCATCTGTCTGTCTGTCTGTCTCTGTCTATCTCTCTCTCTTACCTCAGGGTCCAAGGGCAGTCTCAGGGGGTTGAAAGCTGAAAAATTCACTTTAAAAGCCGCAGGATCAGCTAACAGGGATTGGAGTTTTTCAATTCTCCGAACTCTGTTACTCTCTTTGGCTACAACCTGAAAAATTGAAATAATGATAATAATAATTAAGATACTGTAATAAAAGAGATTGGACATAATGATGAGGAGGTTGATGATGTTGATGATTATTGATGATGATGATTGTTATGATGATATTGATAGTGATGATGATGATGGTTATGATGACATTGATAGTGATGATGATGTTGGTGATAATGATGATGGTGATAATGATGATGGTGATATTGATGATGATTGATAATGACCTGATGTTGATGATGATTGTGTTCATTATCATTAATATCAGTCATTATCATTGCTAACATCATTACTAAATATCATAGAACCTGTAACAATAAACCTACATTCTTTATACGTTTTCCACAATGGACAAGTCAATTAGTATTCAACTTTGAGCCCTTCTTCACCCAGCTGCCTTTTCCACATGTTCATATTACTGAAGTCTTTTACATCCTCAACACTTACAATCCCAACCCAATTCTTCAGTTCCCTAGAGCTCTTCTTATCCTACTGGCAGATAAACTAACATATCCAACTTAACCCAACCACCAATAATCTTGACTGTAATAACCACACAGTTATTGAACTTAGAGCTATCAATTCTACAGAAGTAAAAACTGAAAACAGCAAAAGACAATAACAATAAAATTTACCTTGACGAGTGCGACCAGCTGTTCAAGGAAGTGGGTCTGGCGAGCAAGATCACGCCGCGTAGCACGGGCAGCACGCCCACCAGCCCACAGTGCAGCACGGAATCGCCGCACAACCCACTCATACATCTCCACAACCTGGGGAGGAGAGACAGACGCTGATAAATATAATCATTATCAGTTGCCATCGTACATGCCACACTCACTATAAGTTTAGTTAATTGTCTTTCCACACAGATGTCTCTGTAAGTACTAAGTAACCAATTACTTGTACTACCTGCCACACCTGTTTACCTTTTTCTTTTATTTTTGGATTTTTTTTTCTTATACAGCTGTTAGTAATTTCAATAGCATTATAATAATCATAATGTCTATAATAATGATTGAGACAATAATTTTCCCAAAAACTCAAGGAAAGGAGAAATCAGGTAATGTCACAAGGTCTACTAGTTGACTTGTTTGTGAATAAGCACTTCTGGAGCCATATATGGATAGAGACATTTTACAAAATATTAATACAGTGAACAATAAATTTTCCTGGTGTCATGAGGTTGAAATATGAGGGACACCGGAGGGAAATGCTCATGTAAACACACACCATTTGAAGCGGTGCCCTGGATAATAATAAAACAACATGAGAAATAATCATGAAAAACAATTAAGAAATAAATAAAAATATATGAAAATAACTAATCAAATAAAAATACTCAAAACAAAGCACAATCTTCCTTACCTTTGCTTCATGCTTGAGCCCTGGTTCATCTCTTTCACATTCAACAATGAGGTACCAATAGAGGTAGTTCGCCAGTGTGGGATTTTTTGTTGCTCGTTGGATTAGGAAAGAGGCAAGATCAAGGCCTTTGGGGTCAATGTCCATGGAGGCAATTAGCTTGGGGTCACGGAGTTGATTGGAGTCTTGGGTTTGGTTGGGGGTAGTGGGGGATATTTTCTGGGTTTCCATTGAGTCGGTTTTGGGGTCTTGATCACTGTCATTTGAGGTCGTTGTCGTCATTCCTTTTTCTCCTTTTTCACTTCCTCTGTCTTCTACTTTCTCCACTCCTCCGCCTTCAACATCAGCTAGGAGTGAAGATGAGCCTGATTGTTTCAGAGTCGCTGTATCACTCTCACTTTCCTCACTCTCATCATCATCTTCATCTTTGTCCATCTCTTCTCCTAAAAGTCCTCTTCCTCCTTGCTCTTGTGGTCGTTTACCAATTTTCTTTTCCTCCTTCGCTTCTTCCCCCTTCATCATCCCCTCCTCTTCTTCGTCATCGTCCTCTTCCTCTTGCTCCTCATTCTCATCATAATGAGAAACATCACAGAGACTCGTGTCAACACCTTCTATAGCCTCGTATTTTAGAGCCTGGACTAACTGGAGGAGATATAAGAGGAGGTCTTCATCAGATGCATGGCTCAAGCGCTTGACTGCGTATCTTCGTACTTCAGGGTGTGTAAAGCCCGGTCCAAGGAGCTCTAGGGCATCATCAGCATCTGGGGGTGCCCATCGATTGAGGAGTTCAATGGCCTGTTTGGCCTCACCAGTGAGTTTCCAGTTCACACACTTGAGGAATTTTGTGAGTGCACGTTTCTGCGAGCTTAGGTAGAACCGGTACTTCCAGACAGTGTCCTGCTCATCACTTGTGAGTTGTTTTGTGGGAGGGTAGTCAACAATAGTATGCAAGGCATCACGAATAGCTAGGTTGGGTTTGAGGTCACGGTCGGTTACCCCTGACCTTAGTGACCTGGCAAGACGGTGGTGTTTGGCTTCCTGTAAGTTCTCAAGGCCTATCTCTGGGTCAGGCATTCGTACCACACTGCCTGCTGAACGGTGTCGATACTCCACCTCACCCCCACGCTCCCACCACACAACAGAATAGATGACACCCTCATGCTCAACTCGAGGGAACTCAACCATGAGATACATTGCATTGGAAGACCTTTTTTCATGCTCGTTGATGACCTCGATCTCACGGAAGGTCAGTCGGTCCAGCCAGTCGACCTTCATCATCTGCCCATTTCGGTGCTTCTTTGCCAGTTTTGCCAGCCTTACCATTTGGTCCTTACCCCTGTCATGACCTTTACCTGGAGTTGTCTCATCTCCTACCCTACCAGGCCAGAGTCTGAGGTCATGCAGGCCTTGGCGGAAAACACCCTGCTTTCCAAAAAAGGATATGGTGGTCCCTCCTACGCGCTCGATCCTCCGGGGTCCTAAGGAGTCATAGACAGTAAGGGCAAGAAGGGCATTACGTGGAAGGTCCCTAAATTTCAAAGGCAACGTCAGCCACTCGTTCCAGCTCCACCTGGCGGAGAAAGATTTATAGGACGTCCTGACAGGCAAGGTCAGCTGACGTCCATCGCAGATGACCTGGCAGGTCACGTACAGGTCAGAGCATCCTGCCTGGTATAAACCCGAATATTTTAGGAGCGAATCCTTCAACAGGGCTTCATAATTTGGATTATCTCGTTTCCCGTCTAAATTTCCTATTTTGACCTGGATTTCCGCATCTAAATCGCAACTGCGGACGTACCAGAACTTATCCGTGTCAGGTTCCATCTTTATTACTTATTTTCCGAACAGAGAGAGTGCATAACGACGATGAACTAAGGCAGAAAACAGGTTAAAATAAGTAACCCTTGTGACGCACACAATGACAATCAGCTGATCCACCTTCGTAAATAAGAGGAACTACGGGCCTACTTTTTATTCTCCTGTATGTATCACAATGTTATTTAATTTCCGAAAATCAATATTCCGTTGCCTATACGATATCAAAATTACCTTGGCTGTACTCTTTCAAGATATTATTTAACTGTCTTTTCTTTCAGTCCTATCCGAATTGTGAACCTAGAGGTTACGGGCTTAAAATATCTATGATTGTATTTACAATTGTGACCGATTTTTCAACAAAGTAAAATCCAACGTTTGGGTAAGTGTCTCTAGGTCTACATATAAATGACTGCAATATCCGTGACAAAAATCCATTTTTTTCAATTGAGTATAAAGTGGTAACGGCAATGATTTACCTTTTATATTCCTCTTCCTCTTTGTACACGACTCTTCACTCTTCTCCTACTGTCTCTATTCTCTGTCTCTGTTACTGTCATTTATATAATCATTACCATTAATTTTTTGCAATCATTATTATCATTGCTATCAGTTATTATTATCATTACTATTATCCTTGTTGTTGTTATTATAGTAGTAATAGTGGTAGTAGTATTGTTATTTTTATTACCTTTTTTATCATTATCATTATTATCATTATTATTGTTACTATTATTATTACAATCGATATTATTATCACCATCATTCTCACTGTTATCACC